ACTTTATTCCAAGGAACTTGCCCAGGGTATCCTTGGGGAAGGTTACAGAGGGACACAGAACTTGGGTAAACCTATAACTAGAGGGGCTCCCCCTCCTCTGAGACAGGGTTTCTCTGTGTAGCTGTGGAGCCTGTCCTGGAACCCTCTTGCTTTGTAGACCAGGCTGGCCTCAAACTCACAGAGATTTACCTCCATCTACCTCTGCCTCCAGAGTGCTGGGATTAAAGGCTTGGACACCACTGCCTGACTTAAAACTGTAGGACTACTGAGAGAAAATCTCTCCAACATCTTAAAACGCAGAATGATGCTGTTGCTGGAGGTTACCTTGAAGAATTGTGGGAGTCCCAGCTGATAAAGCCTTAACCAAAGGGGAGGGAGTTAAATTAAGAACTAGCACTATGGGCAGGTTGCAGGACGGTGCAATCCTGTGACACAGAGTGTGACTGTGCCCAGCTGACCTTCAGATGAAGAAGCAGCTGCAAGGGGCTCAGTAACTGTGCCTAAGTTTGTCACAACTGGGAGTGGTGCTCTGGGGTCACTGGAGTCCAAGTTCCTGAAAGCCAAGCTAAAGGTGATTTCCCTTTAGTGCCCAAATGTGATTGGAACACCCCACCCAGCTGAAGGCAGAAGAGCCTTCTCTGTGTGGGGAAAGGATACTGAGAGACTACAAACACACACACACACACACACACACACACACACACACACACACGCGCACACACACGCACACACACACGCACACACACAGCCTGCACCACCACCATGTCCTAAGAACATGAAGAGGCTTGGGATGCAGGAACAAATTGAGGGCCTTTTTTTTTTTCAGCCCCTGCAGCTGGTGAACTCACCACTCCCTCCCTTTGCTTTGAGATAACCACTTTGTTTCCACCCAGAGGCAAAGTGAGGTGAGGTCAGCACCTGGATGTTGGGTTCCCTTTGGTAGGTGTTAGCCAGTAAGTGGAATCAGGGCCCTTGGGGCCCCTGGCTAGAGTGCTGGCTCTTCCAGAAACCAACTGCTAGACCAGACCAGGTAGACATCACCAGATTGGGGAGCCTGGCATATGGCAAAATGAGGGCAGAGAGAGGCAGGGTATCTCGGAGGACCTTTCCAGAAGCCTCTGTAGGCGTTTAAGGTCCTGCTACCCCCGAAGGGGAGAGGCTTTATCTGTTTTCCAGGAGGCCAGAGTCCAAGACAGCAGGATAAGGCTGTGGGTGCTAGGGATGGGCACTCCAGAGCAAAGATGCAGCGGGTACCTACACCATAGTAAAAATCTTTTTAATCTGCAGTGAGCTGAAAAGCTCTCTGGATCCACTGGAAGAAAGTCTGTGTGGTCGCTTGGAACATTCGCTTCACCTAGAGTCCTAAGTGAAAGCTCAGGGTTTCACCTTGGCCTCCTTTTCTCTGAGGCACCTCCTGCTCTATTCCCCGCCCCTCCCCCGCCCCCAATCATCCTCCTTCCTTATTTTACAAATCGCTCCCTTCTCTCCTTTGTTACTCTCACTTTCTGGATGTCTTCCCCACCTTTCCACAGGGGTTTATTTCCCTGGTGTGCTTCTCTGGCCTGTCTCCTTCCCTTTCGTTTTCCCTCCCACCAGTCCTTAAGTTCCCGAAATGGCCTTTCACAAGGAGTTGATAGTGCGCTAGCCTGTCTTGAATCTACTCCGCCTAGGATGGAGTGAAGGAGGTCTTCAAATGCTGGAAGCCTGCGCCAGTGGACCGCGTGGAGAGCCTACGAGGGTGCCCGCAGGTCAGGTCTGGAGGAGGTAGGTTTGCCAAACTTGGTTACCACTCTGCCCACTTAGCCAGCGGTAGGACAGACACACCCTAATTATACCACCTCCCAGAAACTGGCAACCGGGACTTCTGCGTTGCTGCTTAAAAACAGTGACACCAACCAACATATGGAGATGTCATCGTAATTAAACAGCACATGATAGCTGGAGATGGTGCGATAATAATCTAAACAATCACAAACAAAAGAAATGTTCTCTGAGGAGCCAGATCCAGAAAGGAGTTTCGAAGGCTCGCCTTCTGTTCCTGAAGAGATGGGCACGTGAGCGTGGTCCCCTGACCGGGTAAGATAGCTTCAAACAGTAAGCCCTTGTTTCCTGTCTTCACAGGGATCGCTTGAAGTAGGTGCCCCAGAGCGATTAGGGTTGGGAAGTCTTCCTTCTAGAGCAGTTTCACCTGGGGAGCCGTTGGAACCTCACTCAAAGCTAGGGGTTCCTAGAAAGGAGCCCTGATGGGTGAACATATCAGCCCGCCCCCTGATCCCTTCTGTCTCCTCCCATAGCCTCGCCTACTTAGGTCTTCTAGGAGGAGGACCTAGAGGAAACCTCACCACGGGGGGGGGAGGAGCAACTCCAGTCTGTCTTTCCTCCAAAGCCCGCAGAGAGCACGAAGCAGGCTTCATTTCCACAAACTAGGAGATCAGTGCTGGGCACTAGATCGTCCCCAATTCGCAAAGGAAAATGATCGTGGGCAGCAAGCTATTATGACAAAAAACAGTACTGGAGGAGCCCCTCTTTTTTCTCCTTGTACCCTCACCCCATTAAATAGATTGGTATTTGCGACACGCTTAGATGTTTTCATTTAAATTCTAGCGGTTGTGCTTAGGTTGGTCATCTGTATACTTAGACTTTTTGAAAATATCATCGAAATGAAATTATGAACAGATTCCAACTGTTTTCCAAAATAATGAGCTATCCAGCGCAGGCGAGCCCCCTCCTTTGGTTTGGGCTAAGATCCAAATCCAGGGAGGAGGAGGGGTTGGGGGCGGGGAGCGTGTGGAACTGTTTCTCAGAGTGGCCCCGCGAGGCGCGTGCGTGAACCAGAGCCCTAAATGTATGCTGCCATTAAGAATCCATGCAGCTTCCAGCGCTCGGGGCGCAAGGACGCATGTGTTGCTGGAATTCAATCCATGGGGGGAATGCAGATTGGGCTGCGACCCACTGGGTTTGATTTATGAACTGTTACACTAGCGATTGTTTACACATTGCATTTCAGAGCTTTGGCACACCCTCCCCGCCGCCGGCAGCGGGTTGCTGGGTGTGGGAGCCTGCTTCAGCACCGGGATCAGCCTTCATCCTTCTTCTGCTCCTCCACGTACCCTAGGGAGCACCCACGAACTCCCTCCCATCCCTACATGCAGTGAAATCAGATTTTGATTCCAATGAACCCAAGAGCCTATGTGTAGTTCTCTTCCCCCCCAACCTACACCATGTATGCAGACCCTGGACCCGGGCTCCACTGCGGCTGTTTACTAATCTGTAAAGCCACGAGGAGCCTATAAATAGGAGAGGTGGAAGCAGATCGACTTGCAGATCAATAGGGCCCCGTCTCCTCGCCATTTCAGCTGAGCTGTCTTATTAATTATGAAAGGATTCGCCTGAACCCCGCCTGGGAACGCAGCCTCTCTGCACCTCTGCAGAGCCCTTAATGGCGGTTCCTTTGCAAGCTGCCTCTAGCCACCGCAGAGGAAGAGGCCTGTGACTCTGAGGGCCGGCCATAGGAACCTAGGTTAGGGGTCAGGCTCACCTGAGGCCTGGGCAGCAGGCTGACCAAGGACATTGTATCTGCATGTGAAAGCCCACAGCGCATACTTAGTAAAGGCCTCTGGTCTCTAAGTCGAAAGCGACTTCCTTTTCTTTTTTCAAATATAAGCCGAATCCGGGAGACATAGCCAAGTGTCCAACTGATGAAGGTCCCTATAAAGACAGCAGGTCATCCAGCCATTTGGTGAACAGGTGAATTTCTCACCTGGCAGTCGTGTGTTCCTCTAGGTATTCTGGGAACTCGGCGAAGGAAAAAAAATGACACTCCCATTTCAAACAATAACTTTTATTTTATACTTCTCTATACTTTGTAGCAAATTTTTGCTGAATTTATAATAAACTTTTTAAATTACATCTCTCTCTCTTTTTTAAAATCAAGGCTCTTTTATGTCAAAATCTTTTTAACTATATTTTAGATTTAACATTGATTACCCCCTTGTGATCTATACCGTTGGATATTCAGGTATTACTGTGTGTGTAACAGCTAAAACAAGAGAGAGGAGGGAAAACAAAGGCAGCGGACCTGAACGATGCATCGACAATAGCAGGTGAAGCCAGCCCCTCAGTGACCATAGCATTTCCTCTGACCACCTTTCCCGCCACACGCAACCTGTTTTTAATCTGTCTCTTACCCTTAAAATGCAAAGCCCACACTGTGTATTTTCGCTTTCCTGGAGGAGAAATGTGCAGTGGAAATGATCAAAACAAGGTTCTGTGGAAGAAAGACGTGAGTGTGAGTATTCACCAGATGCTTCCCACGTGGACGCCACTCCTGAATTCATTCCCCTGGCCTTCTCCTCTCCTCGCTTTCCTATTAGGAGGAGCCCATCATTTTTCATGTTATCAACATGATTAATATAGTAGGTGGCCCAGGGCCATTCCTGAGATTCTTTTGCCAAAAAAAATAAAAAATTTTAAAAATGGGGGTGAGTTTGCCGTTTTCTTTTTTGTGTGTGAAGACGGACTAAAGCTGAGGTCCGGTTTTGGCTGTGCTTGCTCGCTCACTGATCGGTAACATTTGGCAAATAAAATACAAGGAATCAAACGAAATAAAAAAGAGAAACAGGATTTCCCACAATCCCATATGAGTGTTTTCAACATCACAGAGAATCACAACGTCCTCAGAGAACGAATGGCTCTTCCTCTCGATTTCCGGGAGCATGAAGTGAGTGTGGGTGGGTGCGCCGGGGGTGGGGGTAGGGGGACCTGGTCCCGCGCTCAGAAGGAAAGCCAGGTCGCTAAAGCTGCCGAGAGAGACACCAGGAGCACGGAGAGCGCCGGGAGCAGGGACCCCGCCGCCCCGTTGCCGCTGCCGCAGAGTTCGAATAAGCTGCCTTGGATGTTGAGGTTTTTCGATTCTTTTCTCAGTTTATCCCACATATCTTTCGCCCCTTCCTGGCAATCCGTAAGAGCTGTGACCGTGCAGCTGTGGAAATCCTCCCAGTATCTGGCGAGGAGCAGAACAAAACAGAAGAGGCAGGATCACTTTGGGCGTGGGAGGACCCCCCCGATCCGTGCCCCGGGTGACTGCGCCATTGCCAACCTCCCAGGGTGCCACTTTCGCGCGGGCCTCCCTGTTCCGCACTGGGTAAAGACCCGCCAGATCCTTGGCTCGTCCCAAAAACCCGTTCTCAGAGTGTGGGCCTTCCCTTTCCCAGTCTGGTTTCTCTAGTACGGTGCCAGGGGGGGGGGGGACCTGACAGCCAGGAGCGGGGTCGCACCCGCTGCCTGGCGCTGGCACTGCGGCCTGCGCAAACAGATTGCTCACCCTCCTCCGGGAAAGCTAAGAAAACAGCACTAAGCCTTGCAAGCTGCGGCCCATTAATGCCTCTTAGCTCGCAAGATGGGTGACTTGCTCTGAGCCAGGCCCTCCCCTCCTGGCTTCTCACATTCTCCTCCCCCTCGCCCCTTCTGTTTCCATCCTGTCCAAGCCGCGGTCCTTCGCCCTCCTTCTCTCCCTCCACCCAGCCCCCCCACCTTCCTTTTGTTTCCAGTTTCTCCTCATTAACCCCTTCTTCCTTTCCCCCTTCCCTCTCTTTCCCCGCTCTTCCTTTCCGGTCTCCCCGCTTGCTTCGGTCCTCGGAGGTCATCCCTCCTTTCCACAGTCCCGGAGCTCCAAAGACGTCTGGGACTCTGCCGTCTCTCCTCTCCATTCCCAGGTCGGTGAGTGTTAGGTGCCTGAGTACCTGAGCGGGCTTTGGAGCCTTCTCCAGCATTTGCAAACCCCTGTGCTCTAGATCAGCTGTTAGCTGCGTGCTTTCTCTAACCTTGCCTTTTGCATAGGTTTGGATACCAGGAGCTTCCTACCACCCCCAGGTTGTATCACCCACTTTTCTAGAGTGGGCGTGAGGGGGTACCTATGCTGTTCCTCCCAGACCGTGCTCGGGATCCACCAGTCAGTTCCCAAATCAACGTAACTCAGCCTCTTCCTCTGCTGGGTCTCAGCCCCGCCCCCACAACCTTCATCCAACCTTTTATCTTTTTTTTTTTTTAAATTGTCCCCCTTTCTTCTGGAAACCCAAAATAGATCCCGAAACTAAATATAATCCCAAGCCGTGATCGATTCCTAAGGCTCTGTCTCCTTTCGGAGGTGGGTCGATTTGCGCGTCTGGCTCCCACTGCGCCCAGACCGTGAGCTCAGGGTCAGCAGCCACTCTTAGCAGTGTGGGTACATTTTTTTTCTCAGCCTTTTCCTTTTTGTTCGCCAGTCGGGGACTGTAAGCTTGTTGAAGGCAAGCTTAACCTTGGCTTCCACCTCAAACCTGGCTTCTGGCTGATGGAGAGTTCTGAATGCTTGTTGGAGTTCTTGGAGCTAGGCTGCCTTCTAGGGATTTTCTCCCTTCTCTGAGTTATTAGGGCTCCGGGACCTGAGCACAGGACTTTCAGGTTCCTCAATTTGAAATAAATGCCAAGATTTACAGACACTGCAAGGCCCAAGGGACAACTCTCCTGCACAACTCTAAAGCAATTACACCTAGAAAGCAAAGGACACACACAAACTGCTCCTTTTTTTTCTTTTCTTCTTTTTGGGAGGGGGGTATTCCCAGATGGGGACAGAGCACTCGTGGAAAGTTCACCTGGGGCTGGGAGAGGTGAGCTTCACCCACTTGCTGAGCAATGGGCACTATTAACATAGTGGGTTCTGAATCCAGCTGCCTGCTACCGCGGGAGGGGGGGCAGCCCTTCTCTTTCATCCGTGTTTCCCAGGAACTTAGTCCTGCTAAAAAAATGAAAAGTAGCTAGGAATGTAGCATGTTTTTAGCAAATGCTGGAGGTTCTGGAATATGCAAACCTGCCATGGTTTGCAGGTTCATTCTTATCAGATGTTTGGAATTCAATACATTTTTTTCATTTTATGATAAAAAAGATACCAGCCATTTACTTGTTGGAGTTCCTAGCGGGTACTTAGGTATTTGGTAAAGTTTATGGGAAGACAGACCCCCTCCTATTTGATCATTGCTTAAATGAATCCCCTTCTCCTTTATTTAGGAGGAGAAGAACCACGTATATGATGTGGAAGCTGGGCACTTCGACCTCTGGGAACAAAGAATGCTTCTTGCCTTCCTTAGCTTTATAGCAAGGCCATTTTGTGGGGATAGTCCAATACAGCTGATTTTCAAAAGCAAAGAAAATGTATGGTGCAGTAAGATGTGGAGGTCCAGGGCAGCAGGTCTCTGCTGGGTACCTCTTTGACAGCCAGATGCAGGCTTTCTAGTCAATCACTGAGAAAAACACCACTGAACTTGGCAGTGAAAGCCTCCTCTGGCCCTGGACTTGCAGCTGCCCCCCTCCTGGGAAGATCATACAGATACGGGAAGGGGGAAGGGTAATAGCAGCATGTAGGGTGACTACCGCAAACCTGGGAATGGACTATGAACTTAGCAAAACCTACCAAGACCCAAAGTCATTGGCATACAACATTGTTCAGGCTTTCCCTAAGACACAGGGAGATCCCAGTCCCTTCCAGCACTCAGATTTTCTTGGTGTGCTTTGGGGGGGGCTTCACTTTTAGGTAAATTTATGTTAACTCCAGCTCTTCTCAAACCAAAGCCAACTTGTGAGGCTAGGTACTCACAAGAAAAAAGACTGGAGATTATCTCAAAGCAGAGATTTGTGTGGGTCATGAGAATCTGCTAAAGTGGCATTCTGTCACTTGTCCTGGGTCCATGCCTGTTGGGTGCAGGTCTGTAAGACTGAAGAGCTTAGGCTAGTGGGAGAATCCTCTTCCTTAGTCCACCTCAGGCCATGGAGTCTCCCTAGACAGTGCAGATTCTAACCTAGGGACCTAGGCGTCAGGGCCAGAGGGCCTGTCAGCAGCTTTGGCCGGGGGGAGAAAGGCACATATTACCGCTAGCAATGAGGAGCACAGGAGGGGAGAGGGTAGGACAGGGAATGGGGGTGGGGAGTGGCACGGAACTCTGACCTCAGCAGCGCCCCCAGAAGGGAAACCCAGGGTCAGAGAGGACACTTACGTGCACACAGTCTTGATGTTCGTCTTGTCGTCCAGGCCCTGCGGGTAGTTGGCCATGCTGTCGCCCAGCTTGAGCAAACAGTCTGAAAAGCCCTTGAAGACTGCATCGCACTTGCCCGCCGCTCTCACGGCCTGCACCAGGTAAGCTGTGGGGAGGACGGACACCAGTCAACACCACCACCCTGCCCCACTACTGACCCGATGGCCCCTTGGGGTGGTCTCCTTTAAAATTCAGCACAGTGCCCCCCCCCAAATGACCTATTTGCATTCGGCCCACCTCTGGTGCAGATGGAGGGATCTGAGCGTTGGTGGGTACAGATGGGTGGCAGGGAGGTGAGTCCATTTATTTTCTTCAGCTCGCTCCCTCGCTCCCAGCTGAGCTCTACTTCTTTTTCTGTTGTCAGCGCCCCCTCTTCTCACCTCCCTCATCTCCTTTATTACTCTTTTTTCCTCACTCCCTCCTTGTCTCTCAACACTTCCTCCACCAAAACCCTGTCACGTCTCGCGGTGCAATCTTCCATTTTTGTGGTGACAGAGGGGGTCTTGAGGCAGAGTGCTGGGGGGGGGCAAAAACCGCCAGAGAGGTGTGGTGTCCGGGGTTGCGCCACTGAGCCAAGCACCACACCCCAAGAGTTGACATCAGGCGCCAGGGTCTTTGTCAGGCGCTCAGCAAATATTGCTTAATAAATGAATGAATAAAGTCTTTGGAAGAGCAGAAACAGCTACGGGAAATGGGGTGTTTTTTTTTTATTATTATGAAACCGATGGCCCGGCATGAAGTCTGTTGTTTGTGAGACCCTGAGGTGCACAGTTCTGCAGGTCTAAATCAGGGCAGTTTAAATGTTCAGCGACCTATCTGGGGGAAGGATTGGTCTCAGCAGCTGGTGTGTGTGTGTGTGTGTGTGTGTGTGTGTGTGTGTGTGTGTGTGTGTGTGAGAGAGAGAGAGAGAGAGAGAGAGAGAGAGAGAGAGAGAGAGAGAGAGAGATCTGTGCTGTGACTGAGGGTGACTCCAGTCAATGCCAGGAGCCTGGTGTGTGTGTGTGTGTGTGTGTGTGTGTGTGTGTGTGTGTGTGTGTGTGTGTGTGTGTGTGTGTCCCTTTCCTTCTTTGTATCTCTCACCTCTGCACTCCCCATAATGTCCCAGGAAACAGACGGGGGACCAGACCTTTCCTCTCAAGGTTGCTTCCAGCCTGCTAGGCGCCAGGCAGGCTGCTGCCAAGGGCTCTGGCTCCTATGAGGGGGTGGGGTTGAAGTAGGTAGAAGCTGGGCCAGAGGCAGAAGGAGAGCGAAGGGAAAAATTCCAGATCGCACTCAGGTCTTAGCTCCCAAACTCAAGCCAACCAAATCTGGAAGAGCTGGGTTTAGGAGCTACTAGCTTCCAGGCCGGCCAAGGCACAATAGCCGTTTCATCCTACCCGGAGGGTGGCAAACAAACTGGGTTGGGGGCGCGGGAAACAACGTGTAAAAAGGCCCTAGACACCCGGGGCACCCGAAGGACTACAGAGAGGATCAAATCTCCGCCATAGGGGCGGGGAAAGGTGAATACTAGAAGGGAAATCGGCCCTGGGCTCTAGGGGATCTGGGAACAGGCCTCCTCTGCTGTCATTCCTGTTGAAGACCTCCTGGAAGGTTGTAACACTCGGCACCCTTTCTTACGCAGTCACCTGTCCCCGAATGCCAGGCTGCTGCAGACCCGGGGGAAGGTGACCCAGTCAGACGCAGCTTCCGCGAGCTGCGCTGCGCGTCGGCAGATTGCCGCAGGAAGAGCTAGGCGGGACTAGTGCTTTCTAATCCGGAACGGGAAGCTCTGCGGAAGGTACCGAGGTTAACTTCCACCTCAGCTGGGGCAGACACATAACCTTCCAAAAACCTAGCTTCCTTCACACCTATTTAAAAAAAAACAACAAAACAAAACCCTCGGCACTATAATAAAAGCAAAATTTAAACACTAACATTGTGTCTTATGATAAATGAATCTTTGCTCTAATGTAGCTCGGATATATGAAAGAAACCCTACACAGCTTCCTCTATAATGTGTGTTACAAGCATGCTTTGTAGAAAGGAAACAAAATGCCTCTAACCCCAAGGCCTTCCGCACCCCCAAAATCCGGTGTCTGAAAAGATACCATGGCGACTTTTTAAAAGGGTGTTGGGGCTTTCTGGGGGTAGGAAGCGCTCTGGTCACCCTATTTTCCCAGACGTTGCTGGAGCAGATCCTGCAGCGCGCATGTGTGTGACCGTGTGTAAAATACGAATTCGGGAACATTTCTGGGTTTCGCAATTGCGGCTTCTAGAGATCTAGCTGTCACTGAAAAGCCGGAAGCAGTGCGCGGGACAGAGGTTGCAGGCACAAGCCTCTGTGCAAGTCGCGTTCTCAGTTCTTTGTGGACCCGGTTTTTGTAACCCCCAGGCAGTGGACCCCAGCTCCTCTGTTCTCTCTAACATCCCTATCCAGTGCGGTTTTCATTTGCTCATTCATTCGTTGGACCTCTTTCATTCATTCCAAACTTCCTCCCAGCGCATCTTCGTTCGTTCACCATCCTCTACTTCCCCGCCCCTCCCCAACCCCCACTTTTCTTGGCAAATGTCAGTGATTTGGGACAGCTTCCATCCTTGAGTTAGTAAGCCCGAAGCTCTGATGCAAAAAAGGGTAGACATTTGGGAACATACACATTTTAATTCCACTGCCAATATTTTGGTCATTCTCAGGCGGAGGTCAATCGAATGCATCGCTCCTGCAATCACTGTTCCATTATTTTCTGTTCTCATCCACAAGGAAAACAGAGCCCCCAAATATCGTCCAGGTGAAATCGCTCTCTCCTGATCTATAAACGTTTGCAGGCTAACTGCAAAAATGCTACAGTCACTTATTTCCAACACGTAAAGAAAATTTGCTGCCCTTGGGACCTATGTCCTAGAATTGTTGCAGCTCTTTGAACTAATGTCAAAGGCACAACACGATCAGATGCAAAGCATTAAGTCATTTCCTGAAATTAAAGGAAAAGCCAGCATCCCCGAGTATGGTCCTTGTTTTGCAAAATCCCAGTTTAGGCAAAACCACAACAATGCCCCCAAATCAAATTCTCAAGAATCATGTCAAATGTATATAGGTAGACCCCAATGGAAAGAGTCAATTTTAATATTCCAGGAAGCCTGACTCCTCTACATTTCTTAGCGAGGAAAAATATCAAGCATTTCTTCTCTTGTCCCACACAAATTTCTTAACGCACTCCTGAGATACTGCAAGGTTTGTCTGTAAAGAATTCTACAGCCTGACAGGATAGCAGTTCTATCTCCAGAAAACCCATTGGAGAGTTTCTATTTATTTCCTCTTGTCCATTCTATTAATAAGCTGCTTTACTTTCACTTCTCTGCTACGTTAATTAATGTTCCCATCCGACATCAGACGAGCGGATTCGCCAGCACTTATGACATTTGCATTTTGGTTGGAGAAATATGAACTTTAAAAAGAGCTTTCTGACAGTGTAACTGAGACTCAACATTCCTTAACATAAAATGGGGACTAAATCAATCCTTCTATAAACCGCCGCAAACAAAAATAACAAACACACGAAACGACATATTGCAAGCACATAAAACCCTTTCGTGTATTAAAATAATAGAGAGGCTAATATGTAAAGTCACAGACACACAAGAGCCTGAGAAAGTATATCGGTGCATATTTGGCTGATTTATCCTTCTCGGCGGAGTCTGCAGTGCTCGGAGCAAAAGCTGCAGTTAGGATATGGGGGGTTGGGGGGCAGGGGAAGGACAAAGTTCTAAATGCTGCAGTTTGAGGGCAGCCTTGAAATATCTTTGCTTTCTGCACATAAACTTTTCAGACCTAGCTGCCTAGCCATCTTATTTCTGCATTCACCTTTCGACCCCTCTAAATAGTACCTTGCAGTACAACGGGGGCCTCATGCTACCAGCGCTCCGACCCTGCTTTAACCCTGGAGAGGGTAGCAAAAATGGATGTGCGCTTTGGAGAGAAACGAGAAATCCCTTTAGAAAACAGCCTGCCACACACTTTCAAGTCCCTTACTTTAGGAAAACCGAACAAGGACTCCTGAGTCCCAAACAGCTAATGCCCCGACCCCGGATGTCTGCAGGGTTTTCTGCATCCAGCGACGGACGCCGGTCAGCAAGTCTCCTTAGGCGCCTCTGGAGTTGGCATTCTCCGGTCGCCTACCAAGCCGGACCGGGCGGCCACTTACCTATTTGCACCGCGAGGATCAGTGAAATATATCTGCCGTTCAACTTAAGTCCCATCCTACGTTTAGTCAAACCATTTGCGACCGCAGACCTTTAAATAGTTAGTTTAGAGAACGCGGGGGAAAGCTGAAAAATAGGCATTGCCAACAAGTTCCGGGAGCGACAGAGACTTTATGCACTGGGAAGGCAGAGGGAGGAGAGAAAGAGAGGGAGCGAGGAAGAGACAGAAAGAGAGCGAGAGAGTGAGCGGTTGGGGGGGGGGAGCTGGGAATGGTTCACTCCATTAGGAGGGGGCGGAGGAAGTACAGCCTCACGCCCACGAGCAGGCCTGACGTGGGGGATGACACGGATTGATTTTTTTTTTTAAATATAGACACCTTGGTAGAGAATCGCCATTTATAGTCATAAGACTCTGGAATTAATCAGATATCTCCAATTAATGTGCAATGTCAACGAATCTAGCCTCTCTGGGGTGACCGCTTCCCATCGCGGTGGCCACCCCCGCCTCCTCGTTCCAGGGGCCCCCAGCCCCGCCCCCTCCCTGCGCAGAATCGGGGCTCCCTCTCCTCTCCCCTCCCGGAGCTGGGGAGTCCTGGCGCGCCCACTCGATTGTTTAACCTGCTCCCTCCTCCACGGGCGCCACAAGGAACCCAGACACTTCCAACCCTGCAGCTAGGTTTGGGGTGCTTCTGGTCTGGGGTAAACTCATTCCAGGGGAATCGCCTCCCAACTCCTGCCCTCTGCGGCCTACAGACCCCGTTCTTGCCTACCCTCTTTTTCTCCAGCCCTGCAGCTGAGCTCTAGGCGCAGCTTGGAGCTCGTGAGCACACAACCCGGCCCCAGCACCCAGCACCCAGCACCCGCACACACAGCACACACTCACACACAGGCGCACGCCCGGGAGCGGAGCCGAGTGCCCCCGAGCCAGCCCGCACACACTGCACGGGAGCGCGTACACGCCCAGGCCCCCGGGGGTTCGTTGTGCACACATTGGGCCCCAGAAATAGACTACGCGTGCCCACTGGCGACTCTCACCCACCCGAGGGGCCGCTACACCAGACACTGAGACATCTATTTTGGGGGTGGGGAAGGCACCAGGCAAGGAGCCTTGACTAAGCCGATTTTCCAAATCTTGTAATTTACAAACTCTTAGCACTTTAGGAAATTTCCAATGCAAGCTGCAGTGTGCAGGCTGTTTCTGGGAGCCTCCTGGGGTCATTTGTTGGGCCGCACTCACATGTTTACACACAAGCACCCAAGTCCACGTACACACACACGCACACACACACCGGGACCCACACACACCTGAGTTGTTTTTTGATGATGCAGCACATAAAAGACAGCAACGAAATATCTCTTCAGCTGCGTTTGTGCAAGATCCTATAGTGGGTCGTGTAAGATGGAAAAATAGCAAGGGCTACTTTCTAAACGCAATTAAGCTTTGCTTTTCTCTCCCTTTTCTGCAATGCGTCACACCCTCATCCCCAGCCTCAATTGTAGGGTCT